CTCGGAAACGGGGGTGACAAGGGGTCTGTCTCGATGCGGTTTCGGGGTGCGGTTTCGGGTGCCGTGGCGGCCGTTTGGGACGCCAGATGGCAGGTTCTCGGGCACGTTGGAAGTCGTTCTTGGACACGCAGAGGCCGTTCGCACTCCGCCGCTTCATGAAAAAATGCACATGCTAGTATGCACGCTGCTTGAAAGCTTTCGTCCCCCCCGCGGGCGCAAGTTTTCTTGCTCCAAGGGCTCTTCGTTGTTTTCCCATGTGAGGGGTGACGAAGGTCAACCTGCCGAAGTCGCGGCACACCGTGTTCACGGAAGGCCTGTTGGTCGGTTTTGGTGCTGAGGCTGTCTGCCCCATTGGAAGATTGAGATTGGCCTTTCGGATGACGATCTTGGGTGTGTGGTATGACTTCAGATTTTTCGGTGTTCAGGGGTTGGCACTTCAGGGATGTTGTGCTTTCCGGCCTGGCTTCAACATAGGCATGTTAACACACAGGAAACCCGTCCTAGCATTCATTTCCGAGTCCTTGTCGTTTTGCCCCAGAATACCACTAAGTCCTTTGCAGGGCAGGTATGATTATGTGCTATTCTTTCTGGAATGGGACAAGCGACATGCGCATACATGTGCCGCTCAACCCGAGAGCTCGCAGTTCCGTGCCGCGCAGGTGCAGGGTGAATGCCTGTAGTAGAGGGTCCACATCAGTTGTTTTCTAATCAAAGGCTGGGAGGCTGTCTTGCCATAGGGGTAGACGCTTCATTTCAAGACCAAGACATGTGGACTCATGTGGTTCTCCACAAGTCCCCTCAAGCTCAATTTGGCAGCCCTCGGCAGTCAGAGCCTCACTATTGGCAACCTCTGAAGCCGCTACAGAGGTGAAACATCCAAAAGGACTTAGGCTACCATTGATCTAAAAATGTTGTACGACAAGAACCTTCCCCACAAACTTCTAGCACCGCACGACGAACTTCTGTTGTTGTCCAGCTAAATGATGAAGGGAGGAAATCAAAATTGTAACGCGCAATGAGCCCCGATCCTTACATCCCGAATTCAATCTGCTCCTGTATAAATCTGCCACCTGCTCGGAGGTAACTTCGAACAAATATCTTGGGGACGACTCAGCGTCTTTCTGGCTACCAACTTTACTCGGGTGGCAGTCGCGAGCGTTCTGCTGGTTGCAGGCTTCTTGGGATAAGCCCGTGTAGAAAATGTCCACTGCAGCTGTTCCGTTCTGAGCGCTCCCCTGTGAAAAGATGCATGCCGTAAGAATCAAGTTGACATTGCAAAACGCTTCAGGGCTTAAGGCTTAAGAGCTCGAGGTTCAAGCGTTGGGATTCGAATGCAGCTGCAGGCTGCCGTGGACGCACTGTTTGGACACTATACATAATAGATCCTTATGCTGCGCTTCTTCTACAGCCACACTCCGCTTAACCCCCAGCGTGAATACACATTTGCAATAGTCCTTGAACTCCAAACCCTCAAGACTAAACGTTAAAAACCAAACCCACATACCCAGAGGCATCATGTGGTTGGCTCGGACCACTTCCATCTCAGAGCTAATGCTGAATGCCGTTGCTCTCAATGCCATCCTGGACGTTGCCTGTTCCTTTTTGGGGTTAGGATTCAGATGCTGGTTCCAGGGTCTTAGGTTCAAAGTAACACTGCGCTAAGTCCAAAACTCTGCCGCAGAAGCCTTAACGCCTAATTGCACCCGGCACCCGAACCGACCCAGAACCACGAGCACCAGGTGCTAGACAAGTATGGTATCTTCTCCTTGGTTATTTTTCCCGAAAAACAAACAATCTTATTCGGTTCAACCACGAAACGGATTGCTTTCCATTCAGGATTACGGTACTTCGGGCTATATGAGGGTGACCCAGGGCCCGTGTCTTCACCCTGAAGCACTAAGTCCAAAGCTTGTTCAGCTGAACTTGCCCAGCTCTGCTGGGCAGAGGTGGTGTAAGAAAGCCCAAAGTTGGACTGTGTGAGTTTTGGATGGGTTGCAGTCCAGTCATCTTCGAGCAGTCTTAGTTTGGGTATTGGTTAGAGGTCGTCTTGTTTCTCTAGGCCCTTGAGGCCATTGGTTTCGGGGGCTGGGACATGCCTGGAAGGGATTTGGCTCATCATGCTTTTTGGGAGGAAGGAGGTTCAAGGCTGTTCGCTGGCGCGGCATCTAATTTATAAGCTGCATATACGGAGTACTGCATCCCATGTAGAGCGAAACGAGTCATGTCAAGGGAGAGGTCCTGTAGCTGCAGGTTGATGAGTTTCTTTTCAATGGCCTGACGCCCATGAAGTTTCAGCATGCGATCCAGAGCCTGTCCCCAATGTCCATCAAGTACAGCAGGCGGCGCAGCGACTCCTGGCCTTTTTTCACAGCTGTTTCTGATGTTGGCAGTAATCTCTCCGTGAAAGTTGCTGTCATGCTTTCAAGTGTCCATCAGCATGTACACGTTGGACTTCTGAAACAGCAACACTAGGATTCCTGAAGCAGGCTCCTTGTTTTTCAATCGCAGTCCCTTGGGTACTCAGGTGTCCCTAGGGTATCTCTAGTTTGAGAAGCCCCATATGTCATGTCGACGTAGAAGTTTGATTTCAGCAGCTGGTTTCGAGACTTAGTGCAGCCAAGGAATGGGAGTCGAGCATTCAAGCACTCCTCCTGATTCTCACCATCATTGTGGCATGGTGGTGATTGAAAGAGTTGAATTGTAAATCAGGGTCAGAGAACTGGGCCTCTGTGCTTGCAATTGTAGCCCTCCTGGGTGTATGAGGGCCTGGCAGATAGCTTAGACTCCGATGCTCTGAACTATTATAGATCCACGATTTTTTTGAAAGGAGTTCTGATCGCATGTTCCTGAGCAGTTTCTGAGCATGTTCTGAAATCATAATCCCGGGTAGGCCCAACGCCTAGCCATGTTGCAACCCAAAACCCTAAGCTGGAGAATCACATGTTGGCCTCATCCTGTCCCAAAGGCTCCTGGAGTATCAAACTAATTAAGCCTAAACTTACCCTTAACCATACTTGGCAGGCCAACATAGGAGTTTCTGGACATGAGGGTTCTCCTACATGCGTCCAACATATAGTCAAGTCCTTCTGTAAAACACCAGCAGGAATTGACCCGTAGCGTTTACGAGATTCGGGCAGGGATGCTCTACATTCGAAACTGAGAAGAAAATCCAAAGACCACAGAACATCTCTGTCCCTGCACACTCCCCAGGAAACCCAAGAGGGACCACCAGCTCCTGACACTTTACGACCCTAACATGTGTGCACAAGCCAGGTGCCATACATGTTTTTGGTCAAGCCGTTTGGTCAAACCATGGTGGAGGCGACTTTGACCCGTAGGGTCTGGCGTCCAGGGCGTTGTTGGTTTGAGTGTTGGACGTAATATAAAAGCGGCTACAGTTGAGCAGCGGAAATAGGCCAGGATGAGGTCGAAGAAGAATTGCTCCACAATGCATGTGACATAGGTTCGTCCATGATATTTCCCCTCAGCCATCGACCGTGTACTGTATGTCTATGGAGACTGGAGTCCGCCGAGCAAAATTTAAGTCTGCCACTTGCCAGGACGAATTTGCAAACACCACGCCAAGTTTTGTCCAAAACTCAACCCTGCAGGTAAAGAACCTCATGTGCGGCGGCAACCAGAGCTTTGTCATCCACCACAACCCTGACACCCAGATGACCAATGGTCTCATTACGCGCGACGGCCGTGGTGCCTCTGAGATATGTACTTGGGAAGTTGGGCAGGGTCTTAGGCTTGGGGTTTTGGGGTTGAAGGGTGAGCTAACCCTTCAAGCTATGGGATTGTCCAATGCTGTCGTTGCAAAGCATTGCCTCATGCGTCTTGCAGGATTCCACGAGACCAGGGTCTTGAAACAGGAACGTTCAGTTTGCTAAATGTTGTTTTTTTTTCCTTTGGGCAGCTGAAAACTGCTATTTGTATTTCTTGTACAGGGTTATCGTAGAGCTTCTAGCATACCCCCCAACCTTATTCATAAGATTTAGGATCTGCGGCTCGTTGTCAAGCATTTTTGATGTTAGAATCTCGGCAAGTGAAGGGTTCGCAATACCTAGGTTGGATTGCTTCATGTTAGACCGCACAATTGGGCCAGATGTTATTGAACAACCCTTCTCTTTTGCAACAAGCCCGTGTGTGTCTAATCCTGTATACCGCAATCCCGAACTCGCAGCCGCCAATGTATGCATGACACCTGACCTTAAATCCCTTGACCCTATGCCGACTACCATAATCCCGAAATCCAACCATGAAGAGACGCCCCCAAAGTAAGGGCCTGAAGAGGTGGAACAGCTTTCATGTGCATGTTCCTTCCATTGCCATCACAGAGAAGGAATCAAGGTCTGTGGCATGTACGGATAGCTACAGAAAGACTACGAAGAAATCAATTTTGAGCCTCTTGCTTCAAGGTAGCCGCAATCCAAGACCTCAATTTTTGCAGGAGCATAAGCGTTAAGCCCAACACTCTTGGGTCCTTTCTGGGGCTTGAGCCCGAAGCACCAAACCCTAAACCCTGGAGCAGTGGGACCCTAAGCGGTGCACTTAGGCGACTTCTCGAATCTTTCCATCAGCGAGGTGGCTGTTCAGACGCACACTTTCAGAGACACTTGGAAGGCATGACTGTTGATTGAGAGCTCGGGCATAGGATTACGCGATTATTGCTTAGGGTTTGGGATTCATCTTACAGTTTGAGAGGGTTCATGGTCCAGGGAGAGGCTGAGGCTTTCGGGTAGATTTTGAGGCCTATGAACTTTTCAATCCAAAGGGCTTTTTGGTGAGCCTCTCAAAACATGGAGCAGGCCAAATTTCAAATGCCCCCAGGGTTTGATGCATGGCTATATCTTAAGCCCAACCTAGGAAGGACCCAGATCCGAGCACCTGACGGCTTGGGCCCCACATAGGTACCAATACTTGAATCAAGCGCAGTCCATTTGTCTCACTTTTTGGTCGATATAACATCCTCTCAAAATCTTCAGGTTTGCACGCTGCACATCATTAAGTCTTGACCAGCCAATGCCGAGGTGACGGAGTATCATGGCTTATGAGACCGCTGAATTTTCGATCCTGCGCAATATCCAACCAAGCCTCGGCATGTAGCGTACCTACAGCTTGCATCTCGAAATAACCTCGCGCAATCCTGATGCTAAAGGCCACAACCCTAATCCCTGACCCCTGCATGACACTTGGCGATTGCACAGAACAAACATGGCAGCGATTCGATAGTCAAGGATTCACGGTACATGAGAAACAAACAGGACGATTACTTTTGGAAAACCGCCCATCTTGCAATCCAAAAGCACGTCCACTGAGTTGGCCGGCCCCAGGCATACCTTCTGCTCAACCCCCAAGGAAAAACCCTCAGATCAACAAAAACCAAAGCCTCACACCAAAGCCCCCCAAAAGGCCCAAGACCAGACCAGGACCCAAATCTTACTCCGTTGTACATCCAGTTCAACTTGCTGGAGCAGCGCCTTGGACCCCAAACAGTTACAACGGTTCGGGGTTTAGGCGCGATACAAATTTTCCAAAGTGATGCCTCTGCCTTGGTTACATGTTGGAAGCAGCTCTTACTGACCACAACCTGCGAGTGCATCCAGCTCTGGGGTTCAGGGTTGGTTTGACAGGGACAGGGGACATTGCTTTGAAGATTCGGGGTATTTGGTCCAGGGTTCTGGGTCTCTAGTAGCCAAGCTTTCAGGTCTAAGGCAAAGGCAATGAAGATGAACATGGAGTCAGGGTTGAGGGCTCGAATGCCGGTATTACCAAACTGCTTGTACATCACAAGATGGTAGCTGTGGGCAGACCAACAACCCCTCAGATCTCCTCTCTCACGACTCCCAAGCTCCTCAACTTATCTGCGGCGTCTTCTGGAGACGCGAAACCACGACTTTCGCTTGTACTTTAGAAATCACGTTTCTGGCACCTAGGTCAGTAGGCCAACATTGTGGAATTCAGAAGCCTCTTCGACACTTGTTCCTCTATGATATGGAGATTCAGTGAGGCCCGTGGGATAGTGTCCAAAGTGAAGAACCAATTCCTCTGCGCATGTGCAAGCAAAACATCGAGGAAGTACGCACCAAACCCCCTCACCTAAAGACCTTGAGCCCTGAACCCCGAAACCTCAGATCATACATTCCAGGTTCGAATCCGACAGGACCAGCACAATGACCCACCTGGCAAATACGTTTCCTATCTGCCGCTGGGCTCGGGGGCTTCTGTGGGCTCAAGCTTTGCGTTCTGGGTTGCGCCGTGCAGGTCATCTTTCGAGGGTTTGCTTTAGATGTACATGCTGGTCTGTACGAAGACGAGGCCGGTGTGTAGGGTTGTGGGCCAGATGGGGTTTAGGATTTGGTCTAAGGGTGGTTAAGATTTTGCAAAGGCAATGGCAAGAATGGCGTTCTGTCAAAGACTTGTTCGAGGGACGCTGAAGCCACAGCCCTCAGAATTCTAGATTCCTGGACACCACCCTCACGGCAATCCAAAGGACTAGACTTTCCTGCAGTGATCTTGCTTCTTCTTTTTATCTTCCCGTTCAGCTGTTGTCCTTCATGTTGCAAGATCTTTGATAAGCAATGTTGAAAGCTTCACCTTCAAGCCTTACATCACCTTCAAACCGTACTTCCTGACCCGCGAACTTTGTGCTAGGCTTCTGGGTCGCATAACAGCCCCAACCTCTGCACTCATGAATCTAAGAAGCCCTAGGCCTCAAACCCTGAAGCTCAGCCGCCAGCGTGCCTACTGTAAGGCCTGGAGCCTGATGTTCTGGATCCAGGTGGTATCTTCTATGAGGATGAGAGCGTCAGGCGTCTGGCAAAGGGTCTCATGGTTTTGGTGCTTTGGGCTTACAGACGACCATCGGGCTCAATGGGAAGGTGACTGGATTTCTTTGGAGCTCAGCAGGGTTGAAGGTTGTAGGGTTTGGGGATCTGGGAGTTCAAGGGCTTGAGTTCAAGGCCCAGGTGCATCATAAGCCAAGCTTGGATTTGTAGATCCACGGCCTCAGAGGGAACAGGCTCAGACTGCTTTGGGGGCCCTAAGCACTAGACGTGCAAGGAATGATGACCAGAGATGTCAATGCTACCCTCTGGGGTCTAGAAATTTTTTTGGGTTCGTATTGTCCTGTGCCGCGGGTATGGAACGAAGGCAGAGATGTTTCAAAGCATGTAGAAGTTACACATTTTGAAGCTTAAGAATGATATGCCATGGATGCCCTTTTCTAGTTTTCCAGCATTCCGGAGAGGACTGAGTAGATGGTTTGAGGTCAAGCTTTTTGTGATAAGGCTTGCAAAGTCGCTTCTAAACCCTGTTGGCCTCCAAGTGGTGCTGGGAGCCTTCCGAGAAAAGTTTCTTGCCCAATAGGCTCTTCCAAGATTGCAGTTTAAGGTGTCTCGGAATTGGCAATGTTAACAATCTGGGTCCGGGTTGAAGGTTATTTGGCCACAGTAAACCTACAATCCCATTTTGTTCACTGCATACTCTCCCTTCGTTGAGAATCCCGAAACACACAGAGCTCTGGGAGGCCTGGTTCAGAGCTGTTCCTGAGATCTGCCGGCCTCATTTTCAAAGAGCCTGAGGTGTGAAGCTTGGAGTTCACGTTTGCGGGTATTTCAGACTCTTACGGCTTTTAAGAAGTACGAGTGCTTGTTTTTGAACTAGACGGTAAGGTTGCAGGATGCGAGGTTTGAAGGGCGCTCTCAAGAGGTTAGAAAGATTTTGACAATGCTCTATTGTATGTTTGCGTTTTCAGTGCCATTACAAGGCGTCCTCAAGGATCTATGGAGTTGCATGTGAATTTCTTGAACTTGTTCTTAGCGACCGTATGCCACTGATTGGCAAGCATGCGAGGACATAGGAGAGGATAAATAGGAGATCGAGGAAGCATACCACAAGAAACGGGAGAACATAAGGAGCCCGCGAAGACGAGCGTACGTCAAGCACAAGCTTTACAGAGCTCGTAAATGTTAGCTTCTTCTCCAAGATTGCCTTCGCATGGCTAGGGGGACATCTGTTGCAGCTATGTATTACTTGCACTTTCTGATAAGCCTCACGCAAGGGCAAAAGCGATTCCGTTGAAGGGCCGGCTGGGTATGATGGAGTAGGATGCCACTCTGCCCAGCACAGGTCGCGAATTGTTCGCAGCTTCGCCAGTATTGCTACAGGCGCTGAGCAGTTTGCGGCCCAAGGGTTTGGTTAGTGATGAAAAGCAGAAAGAAACCCTCAGTCAAGACCTTGAGAAGTTGTCTCTGCAGTAGGGGCAGCTCTTTGGTACCCTTCTGGGCAATGGGAACTTACAGTCAAGAAGTCTGTGAGGACAACATGGGTGTTGGTAAGCAAGTTGGATTCAGGGCCCAGCAGGTACGACGCGCGTCTGGTGCGTTTGGCGTGCGCCAGAACCTGTGGCTTCTTGATTGCAGGAGAATGATGGCCTCCATTACATATGTTCTGAATGCGAAATTATTTATCCTCATGTTGCACTGGTAGCGTTCTGGATTTATCACCTTGTTCAGCTTGAAAGAGTGGCTGTAGGAGTCTCGAGGTGTCCATATGTATGGTGCAAAGGTTGAAGTGCAAGGGTTGATAGCAAATGGTACACGTTACCGTGATGCGTTCTTAAAATTACCGTGCTCAGGTGAGCGGCCCTCAACCTAGAATCCTCAACCTCGAACCTGCAAACCTCTCGAATACGCTGACCAACCGACAGCGCCCAGCCCCACCCGTTATCCTCTAAATCATTCCGTGCGTATCTACGTTACAGATGGAGTACCTTAAGCAACCGAAATTTTCATGCAACGTTTATCAAATAGGTCACGGGCCCATGTATGAGGACACCGTTTGCACAACTGGGTAGTACCCCTAGGCTTTCAGCCCGGCAACCATACAC